CATTTTGGGGTGTGACGTGTTGCCTGTAGCCTGAGTTGTTTATCTCGATAATGTAAAATCTCCTGCCTGTAATTCTGCTCCTGTTTGTGGTTTACAACTGATGATAGGCACTTTAAAAAATGTGGCTCTTAACTGAGCAGCATTTTTTGGGGGGTCAGGAAAGAAAAGAGGAAAACAGCGGCCTACCTCTCAGCCGATGGAGCTTCCTTGGTGTTGTCCAGGCCATTAAATCCAAATTGAACATCCATAATCCACTGAGAAAACATTTGTAGTCCAGCAAGGATGATGAGGATCTCGTGTCCATCCTGAGATGTCTCTCCAAACTTCTTTCACCCCAAAATAATCCACAACTGGTCAGACCCTCTGCCCGGCTCAGACTGTGGGACTGTGGACCAGCTCCAGCCTGTTGGCATCGGCTTGGCTCCACAAAGACACTGATTGTCCACCTTGAGGGAGGCAGCTACCCCCGGATCAGCGGATACGTTTGCACTCCCAGCGGGAACCTGGATTATTTCTGCAAGAATCTGAGTCTTTATTTGAGGCCTGGGCAGAGGAATGCTCACCTCTCTGGTTTCAGACAACAGAGGAGGCTGTGTTGGCGGAGAGGAAGCCCCCTCTTCAGCGGTGTGGGACTTCACACTGAGGGTAAACATCAGAGGGATGTTGATGAGGTGAGGCCAGATTAAGGCAAATACAATGAGGAGATGGTATAATGAAGATGAGAAGTGACTGGCGTGTTTAAAGCGAGATCTCTAAAGGCTCAGTTCAGCCCAAATCACAAAACATATTTTGATATTTTATCACTCACCTCACTGGGCTTCACACACAGTTCCAGGCAATCATGATCCCAGTTTGATGGAGGAGGGTTTTGGTTTTTCATAGTTACCTTTTTTTTCTTGTCATTGATGCTGAGCGCCTCCCCAGATGGATTCATTGAGTTTCCTAATATAACATAATATTGTAGGGCCTTAACCTGACTATGCAAGGTGCCCTCACATTGCTTGTATCGTGAACTGGTGCTACAGAGAGAAAACTGAATTGAATTCATATGAATTAGCAGAAGCCAATTTTGAAGAATTATGCAACACCCCAGTCAGTGTTGTTGGAACATGAGCTAACAGGTAAGCTAAGCTAACAACTATCTTGAAGACTTGAGACTTAGTGACTATACCACTGCTCTGCTCATAAGGTGGCAGCATATCTTGTTTTACTTCAAGGATTAAGAATTATGGTAGATGCCACCACTCACCTTAAGGGTTTTAGTGTTTTATACTGACGCGATTGAAGTGGAGGAACAAGATGCCCTGAGAAGAACAACAATGCTACAGTAGTATGGAATCACAGGAGTGCCATAATAAAACATAAATCTGTTTAAAAAAAAAAAAAAAGGAAATAAATGTGTGACTATAAAGAGGAATAAATACATATAAAAATATGTAAATATAAAGGTAAATTTTGTCTTTGCTTTTCCCTTTATTTTTTCATGTCACATTTCATGTTTTTTTTTTTTGTTTTTCTTTTATGTCACTTCCCTTTAGCCACTCTAGGAGCAAGCACCAAGCAGGAATCCTGACAAAGACAAAATGGGGGAAAAAAAGGAAAAAACAAAGGGAAAAAGGGAAAAGCAAAGACAAAATGTATCATTACATTTCCATATTTTTATTTATTTATTCCTCTTTATATTCACACATTTATTTCCTCATTTTTTAACAGAATTATTTTTTATTGTGGCACTCCTGTGATTCCATACAGTAGAACCAAATACTTCACAACATGAGCTTTTTATTCCTGATTCTGATTTATGGGATTAATCTGGTTTCATGTAATGAAACTCAGGTGGAACAGCAGAGGAGTGTACAAAAACATCCCCGTCATATATTTTATCATTCCACTTCACACCCTTGCATCTGGTTAGCTTTACAGTGGGAGGTTCTTTCAGTGGCGCAGGATAGTATTTGGGGTTGTTCAGCATCTTCTCTTGAAAGGAACTCTAGGATTATTCAATTTTTAATTTCATTTGCACTCAGTGTTTCAAGGTGTAATGGATCTTGTGTGGAAATTAATCTTTTTGTCCCACAGTCCACAGCCGATTAGTCACCAGATGGAGTTATGCGTCCAGATCTGCAGAAGTAAACAGCAGAGAAGTGAGTCACACACAGATGTACTGGTACAGACAGTGTCCAGGAGAGACCTGATGAACCTCATGTTGGACGGCAGCCGGACTACAGAGGGTTCAGCAGAAATATGCAGCTTGCCGCTCACTGGGAAAAGACCTGACACTGGAGGGCCGTGTGCCATGTCAACAGCGCTTCAGAATTAAACAGCTGGTGTCGATTCAAGAGGAGGGCTCTGGCATCTACAGGTTACAGCCACTCTGTGTTATTAATGCATACTAGTCATGCCTCATGACAGTCATGGCCGAAGGCATGTTTTCAGGTTGCCCATCCATCTGTACGTCTGTATGCACATCCCAGTCTTGTACACGTTGAGGGAACGTTCACTTGGGACAAGAGAAAAGGTATTTAGATGTCTTATCTTTGATTTGTTTCTAAGGTATCATCTAAGGTTCATTTGGGAATAAGTCCATCTCAAATAAAAACTTGTTGGAATTTGACAAAAGTATCTGTTTGTGTTTTTTTAAAAAAATCCACAACTTCTCACAACTGCTTCTCACTCAACCTAAAATTACACAAAGGATCTATAATGCACCAGAAAAGATCCATAGAATGAACTCTGTCATGTCTTTTTGTTCTGGCAGAGCAGAAGTTACTTTCACCAAACCCTCCTCCTGAAACAGGGCCCAGAGGGTGAATCACTTCCAGTTTAACCGCTCCGTGAGCTTTTACCATAATTTGTGCTACAAGTCAGATTTTCCTAGAAGGGTCTAGACCCTTTGACCCTTGTTGCTGGGTGTAAATAAGAATGCTCTCGTGACTGTAAGAGTCATTCAGGTCTGCTATATTCTAAAGTAGGCCTCTATGCATTTTGAGTTTAAATAAAAGCAGTTTATAGACTTGCTTCTATTTCTATTCCTGTCACTGTTTTGGGAAAGCACGTCATAAAACTCCCATTTAGACTTAAGTGGAGACAGATCGGTGTCCCTTCTGAACTGATGCCATGTGTTCACTCTCAGACACCCTTTGCAAGAGAGGTGCAGCTTACCAGGCCCCTGTCTGCTTTTGACATAGAACTTTTAAAGGTACTACAAGTTACCTCTGCCTATATATACATATATTTTGGCTCCTTCCTGCAGGTGCATCACCAAATCAAAGCAAAGATGTTCAACAGACAAATCTCCTGAGGAGCCAAACTGATCTACAAACACAGCATCAGCAGCTATTTTATGTTATTGCTGCCCAGGAGGAGATGTTTCACAAAGTTGGTGGTTCGATTGTGTATGAATGTGCATGTGAATGAGAAAACATTGTAAAGCCCTATATCAGTGCAGACCATTTACATTAGCTATGACTGGTGGGAAAGTGCTACTTGTGCCTTGATCAGATATCAAACATCTTAATGGAGTTACATGTCTGTCATTTACACTCAGAGCATGAATGCAGCACATGACTGACATCCCACATTCCCCCCCAGGATATGGACGTAACAAGATATGTGTCTCCATCTGCTGGACAGTCTGCATCGTTGCACCACCTTCTTCATTTAAAGAAAACCTAAACTGCTACACAGAGCTTCAAGACTCACATTCATCTATTATAGCCGTCATTTCCTACTTAACATAAATATGTGGAACAACTGAAAATGCAGGCTACTCCTGTTTGCATTCGTGCTGTTGTTGGTCGTTTTGTTGTGCCACAAAAGAAGAAAAGCCTCTGCGCTGGTTAAGTTCATAATCCTTCACTCTGCACGCCAACAGAAACCATAATTCCACCATTAAGCCTCTATGAAAAGTAGTTTAACACACATTAAACCATGAAAACATCAGCAAAACACACTTAAGTGGGGTGAGAAAAAAAGATTTGAGCTCCGTCGTCAGTCCTAACTTCTCTAGACACTGCTCACTGAATGTATTTTGTGCCATTTGATAATCTCATTGATAATTAGCACACCACTAGCCTCGCATGTATCTTCACTTGCAGAGCGGTCATCATCAGAACCCTCCAATGTTAATAAAAATGCTGTTCTGCACTAAACCTGCCACCCAGGTGCTGCATCATCGTGTTACCGTGACAGTAGGTAATAAACGGAAGATTTTTCGTCACTGTGCCTGGATTTATTCGTCGTAATGGTGAGACAACAGCACCATCATGAGGCCAAACCGGAAAAAACAATCTCACTTAGCACCTGTATCCAGGAAGCCATGAAAAAGAACTTAAATTGTTATATAGTTTACACACCTTTACATACAAAAACTAGACTTGTTGAGACCGAGACATTTTTAAAGAAGAATAGTTTGAGTGATAACAGGGGGTTGCCATGTCCATATGGAGTTTTTATAAGCTAGAGGGCACATAAGGAGTAAATAAGGTAGTCAACACCATGGTTGAATAGTTCCTCCTTAAAACTGCTGCGTAAAGATGACAGTCTCCAAAACACAGATGTAGACTTCTGGGGTTTCATATGTCAGAAATCTAAAGAACCAATCAAGTCAACTGGCGGCGTGGGACTTTCTGGATCATTATTCTTCCTCAGAATTGGTTTCCAACACACACGGCTGAATTACTCCATTATTACAGATTACCACCGTGTAGCATTCACTAGTTCTACGGTGTTTGAGCAGAGTCGTAGGTGAGCTGGTGTGCTCGAGCTGCAGCGAGTGGTGGCCATTCAAGAGGAAGCGATTGTTACATCTAAGCCATTTTAAGGCAGAAGCTGATTTTTGTTCATGGACAAAGTGTCTAAATGTGTAACTTTAATAAATAGAGATGAGTTTTTTTGGGGTTTAATCAATGAGCAGAGAGGGATAAAGAAGAAACTGATTTGCCATTAAAAGATAAAATGGCAAATTAAAAAAAAAAGATAGTCCTTAAAATCCAAATATGATTTAAAAAGAAGGAAGAAAAACTGTGGCAAGTCACACTTCAACCTTTAAAAATATTAAATAAAACATAATGAGAAGCATATACACCTAAGAGAGGTATCGCTGCCTTGATTAATCCCAGAGGAAGCGGCTGAGCTGCAGGGCGACGACCACACCGGACAGAGCGACTCTCCGGCCTGCAGACCTGGACACCACGTTCCTGCTGGGCAGCGGACAGGAGCTGCCGTACTTCCCTCCCACCAAGGACACGCTCTCACTCGCCAGCAGGATGCCGGAGAAGGTGATCGTTTTGGAGGTGGTGCTGGCCCATGAGCAGCTCTCGGCATTTTGCTTCACCCACACCTGGTCACCTTTCTTCAGCTCCTCCATGAAGTAGCAGGTGTTGAGGGTTGTTTCACCAGCAGTCATCTGACGGGTACAAGTGGAGTTTGTAAGGTACACTGTCCTGCTGTTCAGTCATGAAGATTACCTGTTGTTAATCTAGTTCAGTCTTGTGTACCTGAGCGTGGCAGAGCATCCTCATGTCTCTGTTGACCATGAAGTACCACCTGTTGTTGTGATTGCCGCGGCAGAGCTGGGCGGCAAAAACAAACTGGTAGACGCCGGCGAGCGGCGCGGTGAACACCCCGGTGTCGTTGTCGTAGGCGGAGCCCTGGTTCACCAACACTTGGTTGAAAACAATTGGGTCGAACGGGACGTCTCTCAGCTGTCCCTGGTGGGCAGCGAAAAAAATAACAGCACTCCCTGGAACAGATTCATGTCACAGTTATGTTCACTTTACATAAATTTTCCTCCATATTTACCGTAATTTCCGGACTACTGAATATAAGCCGCACCCACTAACTTTAAAAAGAAAAAGCATGTGTACATATACAGGCCGCACTTGTCTGTAAGCTGCAGGTGTCCACGTTGTAACATGAGATATTAACACAGAAAGATTTTTTTAAACTTTTAATTAAATACGTACTGGTAACATACACAAATGCTTTTTACCAAACAGCCTACCAGGAAAAGTCATTGATTGCTATCTTCATCTTCCTCCTGCACACTAAAACCACTAAAGTCTTCAGTGTCGGAACAGCCTCAGAATTACTTCGTCACACTCTTCCTCAGTCTCTCTTTCGTTGTCGCTCAATGTCACTTGAGTCTCGAGGCAAATTTGTAAAAATCTTAAAATCCATAAATCATCATTGTTTAAGCCTCAGTGTGAGAAAAGTAGCAGCTTGTAGTCCGGAATTTACGGCACACACATCATAAATTCAAACAAAACGTAATCATAGTTACCTTGTTGTCTGGCTTCTGTCTGCCAGGAGTTCTGTGGACAGAGTCAGAACAAAGCTGGTTATGTTGTACCGCTATCATGAACTGGAGGTCAAGGTCAGTTTGCTCACCAGTTCCACTGGGCCCGCTGCGACCAAACTGGTCCCACACAACACGAACCCAGTGACAAAGAAGGAGCATATCTGCAATAAACAAGTAACCGAAAATTACAGCTAAAGGATCAAGATTCAATAAACAGACAGACGGACAGACAGACGGGTACCTTAGCGGCGCTCATCTTCCTCCAGAGGGCTGAACAGCACTAACGCACCAGGCTTCACTAAAAGTGTCTCTGACTGATCCCAGCAGGCAAAGTCCAAGCGCTTTGTTACAAAATCTGTTTGACTAACTCATAAATACACACACACACGAACACACACACACACACACACACCCCTAACAAATTATACTACTAAGAAAAAAAAAAGAAATTAGCTGAAGTCTTTGCGATGTGTTAGAGAAGCAGTTCAAGTGTGATGCCTTCAGGGTGACTTCAAGATTCTCAAGAGGAACAACAGCATGAGATCCAACAGGTGTCCCCAAATGACACATGTGCTAAAGTTGTCAAAGAGGTTAGTGTCTGCACAGGGAGGAGGTCAGGGTTGATGGATGGGCCAACAAAAACACCGGTGTCAACACAGGACACTGCTGTTTCGTTTCCCAGTTCCTACTGATCGTCAGTGTGGTTTTGTTGTCATGTTGGATGTCCTGAAACAGCACAGTAATGTTTTCCCAGTAAAGCTTCAAGCTCAGAGAGAGTGCATTGACATCGTGGGGGTCAGTTTCAGAAAGGGGCTGCAGGAAATTGGAATTTGGGCTCACGTCCACCAAAAAAAAAAAAAACGTCATAGATCTGTGACCCAGTGTTCCACCCTGATGTTTTGTGTTGGGAAGTTCGGTTCCTCCTGGCACCATGTATTCAGGATGACAACATCTGTATAATTCTGACGAACCAGTTTGTTAAAAGTGCAACAACATATTTGAACATGGTTGGAATATGCAAATCACTCTTTAAACAACGACATCGATGGCTATACCTTTAGCTGCTCCCTTGAACTTCCTGAATATGTGCATATGACCCAGTTGAACATTGAGTCAGTTCACAGACTGGTGGGTCGAGTAAGTCCACAGAAGCTCAGTGCTGTTCCAATGGGAAATTAACAAAAGCTTTAGAATTGCCAAACTTTTGCGCTGTTTCTGAAGCCTGCTGCTGTTTTAAACAACAACAAAAAATGCTCTAAAAAGCCACTTTGCACTTCCTGTTCAGCTCTAAACTGTAGACACTTATGATGATCAGCTGGTGAACACAAGGGAGGATTTAACACTTCAGGAGGCAGATATTAACCCAAAGAGCCGGCAGAGACACAAACAGCTACAAGAGAGTGAATATTGGTCTTACATAACTGGTGTAAATACGTTTGCTGATGAATTTATTTCAGCTTTTCTCATTTGCCTGAGCACGTTAGTCCATTCAGAAGTTACAGTTTCTCACCACCTTTGGTTTGCAAAATGCTCCAACACTTAGAAAACATGCAACAGAAGCAGATGGTTCCATCAAACAACACAGCTTGTGGCCAAATCAGTCTATTATTCCTACTAACGATGACATAATGGATCCAAAGATAGAAAATACAGCTGTTAGAATAGTTCAACCTCACTTCTGCTGCCTGTCTGTGCCTTTTGTTGAGACTTTACATAGTTACAGTATGTGCCAATAAAGGCAAGCAAGCACATTACAGCATTAATTGTGTTTAATTTTATTTATTTATTGTTTAACTGTACAAGAACCAACAAACCCTGTTGCACTTTGCATTGCATGACCTTAAAAAAAATGGCATTTTCTAACTAAGTTCCTAGAAGTTTTGCATACTTGCATTCTGTTTTGTTTCTGCAAGTTATATTTTTAATGTCTTTGTCAGGAGAGAAATTCCCATACACAGCAGGTTCACAGGGGAAGCATGTTGGGTTGGTGTGAAAACCAAAATCAGTGCATGTCTATAATTTAGACTTTGGAGCGGGACGTTTGACCAACAAATTATCGCAAAAGTCTTTGTCTTTACATTTCAGTTTCAGTCTTGATTGATATTTTTAAGGTGTTATTAAATTGGACAGACTAACAGGAGCTTTTAATTTGCTTCCAGTCTAACAAAAGCTGACATCATGGCTCTAGTGTTATACTGAGCAGACAGACATGAGTGGTATCAATCCACTCGTCTAACGCTCTCTTCCTCTAAAGTCTATCGATTCAGCGTTCAAGAGTCCACCTTCAAAGGTGACCTGCATTACAAGGTGTTAAAAGCTCTCAGCTGGAACTCAACAGGACGCCTGTAATCAAAAATTCCACTCGCCGATCGATTGTCTGTGTCAGACTCCCTCATATTCCACTCTGTCATCCCCTCACTTTCCCATCATCCCCCTTCAACCAGAAAAAACATCATATTAATGAAATAAGATCCTCTAGCACAATAACTCGAGCTTTTCATGTCGCTCGTTTGCACCTTTGCTTCCTTTACTTCCACACATTTCAGCTCCTCCCAACAAAAACATCCATCCATCCATTATCTGTACAAAATAAGCTCCACCCAGCCAACTACAATAGTAAATCCTGCTTTTAATTCATGAGGAATAATCATCCATCCATCCATTATCTATACACCACTTAATCCTCACTAGGGTCATGGGGGGCTGGAGTCTATCCCAGCTGACTCAGGGTGAAGGCAGGAGACACCCTGGACAGGTCACCAGTCTATCACAGGGCCACACTTAGAGACAGACAACCAAGCACACTCACATTCACACCTACGGACAATTTAGAATCACCAATTAACCTCAACATGTTTTTGGACTGTGTGGGAGGAAGCCGGAGAACCCGGAGAGAACCCACGCTGCACGGGGAGAACATGGAGCCTCCACACAGAAAGATTCCGGTGGCCTCACTTGCTGCGAGGCAACAGTGCTAACCACCGCTCCACCTTGCAGCCCTCAACAAAAACAGTGAAGTTGAAATAAATCGTATTCACCAAACGGGACATTTTATTCGAGATAAGAGACTCCGATCATCTCCCTCCATCCAGTCTGTGTCTTGCTGTCAGCCTGTGGATAAATCTCCCTCTAATCCCTGCTCTGGTTTGTTCTGTTCAGCTTTAAAAGCTGTCACTTAAACCACGCATGGAGAGGTTCACGATGCCATCAGCTCCTCTGCTTTCACAGCTCGCCACTGATTGGTTGAATATATTTGGAATACATTTTACCATTCTATTTTGAGGTAATCCAGTTGGGTCACTTTTAATCAGTGTTGGACAGCAAAGCATTACTTAGTAAGCATTACAGCAATAAGATTACATATTTTTCATTAACCAATGTTTAGAATTTTTAGACAGTAACACCAGTGTAGTTACTAATCTATTATCTGGCACTCTGCTTTTTCCCTACGTTACTGGGCCTTACATGTTGGGTTCATGTTGGTTTGTTGTCTCTGCATTCAGTGGACCATCGATGTATTAAGGAGAACTGGATACCACATTCAAAAGCAGTGTCCCGTCTAGTAAAAGCTGTCCTGCTCTGCAACATTATATTATTGTCAAATAAATGAAGCTTTTTAAAAAATAAAACATTAAAGCGGGTTCAAAATTGATCCCGTTGTGGTTATTTAAAAAGTACATGTACCACTAGAACACAATGTTATGGGTGAGTGAGCGCACTGTATCAAGATGGCCGCCAGTGTGGCCGTGCGATTCCGATGGCCGGTAGTGCGGATGAGACATCTAGCCTTTATTATACATATTAATGGGACAATCTATCTGCAAGAGGACTGCAACTTTGGAAGAAGGTTTGATTCTCAGCAAGACGATTTAAAAAATGCACAGAAATGTTTGGACGACAACAAAGCGAAGGTTTCCATGGCAGAGTCCAAACTCAGACTTTGATCCAGTTGAGAATGAGTGTGTGGACTTGAAAAGGGCTCATGATCTCTGTACAGTGGTCAGACGTGCAAAACTGATTGAGATCTGACCACATAAGCTCAAATAAACAATAAACTATGTTGTAGCGTACAAGCAGTAGAGGTGTAGTTCACGTCAGTTATGTAACTACTGGGTATGCAAAATGGATTTTCCTTTTAGTTCTTTAAAGATTTTTCTCTGTTTTCTCTGACTGGATTCATAAAAACGATCACAGACAGCACAGAATGTGCTGGAAGAGGCCAGACAAGTCTTGTCCCCTTTAATGCTCCCCATCCCACACACACTAGTTTCATAAATGTAGTCCAGTCCAGCAATAATCATCTTGAAATCTGGCCTGCTCTCTGACCTCAATCGGACAGTTTCTCTCTCTGTCGTCGTTCCCTCCATCAGAGCGGCTGTAATCCTCTGCGGAGTCCAGAGACATATGGTCCTCACGGCAGCCGCTGTATCTTCTGCTGACTCTCAGTGTGGCCGTCAGACCGTAGGATCAATGCGTTAAATGTGGAAGGACTTCAGGGAATTCACCAGCAAGCACTGCAAAACAGACTGAGGTCATAGAATTTATCTGACAGTAAAAGATTTGAAATAAAGTCTAAACATTGGTGCTTTAAGTTTAGAGTCCTTTAGATTTAAAAAAACAACTATAATTTCGTACATTTGTGTCTTTATTTCCACCTTCATACAGCAGTTTTCATAACTACTAGCGAGGTCTGCCTTTATCACACTGGATGGAAATGTCCAAACTTTGCACAGGAGTTCAACCGGACACAACGCAACAGGTGATGCGACTTGTTATTTTAACTCATGGATATCTTCCTTACTACTGTGATGTAAACCAAACGTAAGCCAGCACTGCCACTTCAGAATAAAAGCATGTATGTGGTGAAACACAAGGTGAGGTGGCTTTTATTGTGGAAATCAAGCAAAAAAAAATGTTTTTTTTTCAAAGCAGATCAGTTTTAGCAGCTTGAAACCACATAACAGCTGCACTTACATCCTTTACCACCATTAGCTATAGCAAAAAAATACTAATACTTAGTTTTTAAGTACTTTTACCTTCATACTACGAATGTTGTCCAAGTTAAAGGCCCTCAGAGTACTTATGTGTGTGTCAAAATGTGAAGCTTTACAACTAGAAACATTAGAAAATGATTAAAAGATTAGAAGGAATCATGACTCGAAGATGAGAACCGCATCAAAATGTGGGTAAAAACAAGAATTTTCATTTGCTATAATTTGTTCTGGCCAAACACACATCACGCATGCTGATATGAGCACTGAAAGTTTACCCAAAATGCACCATTTAAACTTTCCTGTGGTGAAATGTGATGTACTAGAGCTTGTTTCTATTCCTCTATGTCACAGATGTTGAACCTATGACATGATATTAATGGTTAAAGTTGGTTCTAGACAACATCGTGTTGAACAAAAACTAGATTTTGGCTTTAGATTGTGACACCAGGAGTGGACGTCAGGTTGATTTGGTTGCATTTTTTAAATAGAGCTCTAATGTGTTTTTCAACCCTGAAAGTGTCGTGTGTCTATCTCGTGAACTTGTGAAGATACGAAGCCTCAAAATGTACTTCTAGAGTCCATAACTAGAAAAATATTCATATTATGATGAAAGGAATGGGTCCATTTAATCATCTAATTGCGGCGGCCATCTTGAATTGTACGCTGCAATCCTTCTTGCCTCCAGAGGAGCTGATAGTTCAGCCTTCAGTCTCCATATTGTCTCCTATTATTCACACTCTCAAGATGGAGGACTCTGAGCTTGTGTCTGCGACTCAGTGTCCCAGTTCTTCCCATGGTTCCTCTTCCTGTTCCTCTCCGCCATCACCATGGCCGCCACCACGGTGACGAACACGGTGATGGTGATGACCAGCACGGTGGCGGTCTCGGCGATGCAGAGCTGGCTGTCCACCCAGGCCAGAGAAGCCCCGGCCAGCTGGGGAGGGCTCTGGCACGTCACGTTGCGGTAGTCGTCGATGTGGAGGTGCCGAACGTGCAGGATCTTGCTGAAGACGCGGTGCAGGTCGCAGTCGCAGCTCCACGGGTTACCTGGAGGAGACGAGGAAGGATGAATGATGCAGGCAGTCAAACAGTGGTTGGAGCAAACAAACTAGATCTTAACAAGCTGCTATTCCATGACCACTTACTCTCAGGACTATTATACTGCAGCAATGCACATATTTTAACAACATTCAGCAGCTTTTTAACCCATATTACTGATGACAGTTATACAAACACTATATGCATCAAATTTAGCTTTTAGAAAACAATTAAAGACTAATAAACCCTGAGCAGTTCTTCTAAGAATATATGTGGTTTAGGTTTCCAGTGATATTTATCATATAACTCTAGGTAAACATTTTTTTGTTTGTTTTTTTTGAATATGATAAAGGTTCCAGCCGACCTGAAAGCTGGATGTGTGTCGCTGTTGTGTGAAGGCTGATGAAGGTCTTAAACTTGAGGTGTTGCAGGTTGTTTCCCTCCAGAACGAGAACCACCAGACTGTAGAGAGGAGCCAGGGCATCGGGTTCTATCTCAGAGATGTTGTTGTTGCTCAGCTGGAGAACCTGGACAGACACACAGACAGATGGACAGGAAATCAGCGAGACAGACAACTTGAGTCAGTCGTCAGAAATGGGGTGCCACAGGGCTCAATCCTTGGTCCACTTCATGTTACACTGTACATAAATATCATCATTCATCGTGGTCCTTTAACTCTTGTAACTACAGTCAAACAGCTACTTGAACCTTGGATGGATGCTCATTATGTAGCCAGAAAAGTTTTTACAATCTCAACTTATGCACCTCTAGTCCGGGCAGCATGTCCATGCTCCCCTGCTGCACCACAGTCAGTCTGTTGTTCTGCAGATAAAGCTGCCTGAGCCTGGAGAGGCCTCTGAGCACGCCGGGGCTGATAGACGTCAGCTGGTTATGACTGAGGTCCAACTTCTCCAGGTTGTCCAGATACTCAAAGCTGAGGGGAAGAATAGATAATCACGGTATGAGATGCCGATACAGCCAGGTATGAACATAATGTGCTGAATGTAGTTTCATCTACAAATATTACATTTCCTTAACCCCTTACACCATTGAGGTCCTTGTATTGACCTGGTCCTCGTTAGTTATTAAACTAAAAGGGTTGTTGTGCCTTATTTCTGTTGCATTGGATTTGGAGATGTAGCTGAGAACTGATGAAGTTTTTTAAATCTCACATTGGCCAATAGGAACAGTATTCCAGAATCAAGTAAATACATATTTGGACAATGGCTCACTTCAGTGTAAAAGAAGAGGATATGAGAATTTTATCCAATGAACAAAGCTCCATCAGGCCCTGTTGAATGAGGATAATAAGAATATGGAGTGTGATGGTGGAAGATTGATGATTGCCCTTGAGGTTAGACAGACAGAAGGGTACCTGAATCCAGATATGTAATGTAAGCTGTTGTGCTCCAGTCGCAGCTCTTTGAGAGCAGACAGACTCGTGGAAAAGTCCACAGGGAGACTTGTTATCTGGTTCCAACTGAGAATCAGCTTCTCCATAAAGGACAAAGAGAAGAAAGCCTGTGGAGAGACAGAGAGAACATCACTTCTTACGCTCAATTCTCTTTCATTTTGGCGTAAATAGCTCCTCTCTGTTCCTTGTTCGTACCTGCGGTTCAATATCTTCTATTTGGTTGTTGGTCAGCACCAGCACCCGCAAGGACCACAGGCCAATGAAGGCCCGGGTGCCGATCACGCTCAGGTTGTTTCCCCCCAGTTCCAGCAGCCAGGTGCCGTGTGGGAGGCCTCGAGGGACGCGTACGAACCCACGGTCACGGCAGTCCACCAGCTCCGCATGCTCGTAACAAAGGCAGTGGTGCGGACACGACCGCGAGCACTCGACAAATGGAAGAAGGGACCGAGGGGAATAAATGGCAAGAAGGAGGAAGACCAGAGCCGGGGGAAGGAGACTCATATTTCCCGGAACACCAGTAGCTGAAGAGTAGAAAGTCCAGTGATGCTTGGTAGTTTGGTTCTGCCGTCCTCTTCACCGAGCTTCGCGGTCCACTTCGATGCAACTGGAAATGAAAAACAAGCAAAGTCAACATTTACGTCTGCGAAGTCAGTCCTACGAAGGTTTGGTGGAAATTTGCATTGATTCCTTTTTTGAAACTAAAAAAAACATGACGTCCCCAAATTACGTTGTAATATTCCCTCTCTGTTTAACTCTGCTTTTGGTTTCTAACTGTTCCTGATGCTCGTCAGCTGCTGAGTGCTCCACTGTGTTCATCAGTTAATGGCGCACTGTACAGATTAGAACAGCAGTTTAATTAAAAGCAGCTGCCTGGGGTGTTAGTAAACCTGAAAACCGACAAATCTGCAGTCACTCCATTGCAGTACTGAGCTTTTTAGCCTCTTTGCAATCAAGAAGTTCCAAGTCTGGACCTATAATAAGATAAAACCTGATTTAAAACCGGCCAGTATCCCCCCCAGTGTTCCTGCCACATATGGACTCTGGAAGTCACGTTACAACCACTTGCAGGTTAAATCTGTAATTTCGCCACAGACGTCAATCTTTGTCAAACTGATCCAAACTTAATGTGGACGATCATCACTGGTGACTAGAAGTGGGTCTACAGCTACAACACAGAGACCAACCAACCGTCTTCAGTGGCTCCGCAACCAAGAGCATGCTTTGTTCAATCATTACAGGGTTGTGAAACATAAATTCATCCCCTTTGCTCAGACTGTTAACACCTAATTGGACCGTAACGTTGTCTTCTTCCATAAAAATTAAATTCAAGTTGAGGATTCAACTTGAGGACAGAGCAGAACATGGCAGGAGCACTGGGAGCACTGAATCACGACACAAGGCGCACTATGAGCATGGTTATATGACTCAATCCCAGTACTGTTTCAAAGACTTGGTAGTGTTTTATATGAAATCTAATCAGCACATCTGAACAGTAATCATGAACTTTGTCTACAAGAAAAATACATAATTTTAGTACGACATGATACCAAACAGGTTGTAACTCTATATTCCTCAACTGTAACAGATGTTACGAAGAACCACCCAACGAAGTGGGCGGCTTTTTAGTCCCTAATGTCATCGATAGTACAAACTTAAAGGGTAATATGCTGACAACACACCAAATCAACTATAAATATCACACAGCACAACTCATCCTGATCTTGCTGTCCTATTTTAAACATCATAAAATGGTCCTCGGACTTTCAGATTACCTCAAATATGAAGCCTGCTTAATATTACATCTGCATGGTTCACACAGAAGCTCTTTATCTGCAAACTTTCAGTCGTTGGTGGTGGT